GGGGGAAATGGGAGCAGGAGGGAAAAAAAGGGGGTTAATGTGGGGGGTGGGGGTCCTGCAGTGCCCCGGGGGTGTCCCTGGAGGTGGGGTCCCTGGTGGGTTGGGGTCCCAGGTGGGCTGGGATCCCTGGTGGGGTGGGGGTCCCTGATGGGTGGGGGTCCCTGCAGTGCCCTGGGATGACCTGGGGTCCCTGGTGGGTTTTGGGGGTCCCTGGTGGGTTTTGGGGGGGTCCCTGATGGGTTTTGGGGTGTCCTAGGTGGGTGGGGGTCCCTGGTGGGTCTCTGGGGTGTCCCTGGTGGGTTTTGGGGTGTCCCGGTGGTGAGGGTGACTCAGGGGGTCTCTGGTGGGTTTTGGGGGTCCCTGGTGGGTTTGGGGGTCCCTGGTGAATTGGGGGTCCCTGGCGGGTTTGTGGGGTCCCTGGTGGGTTTTGGGGGTCCCTGGCGGGTTTGGGGGTCCCTGGTGGGTTTTGGGGGTCCCTGGTGAATTTGGGGGTCCCTGGTGGGTGTGGGTTCCTGGGGGGTCCCTGGTGGGTTTTGGGGTGTCCCAGGTTGGTGGTCCCTGCAGTGCCCCTGGGATGACTCAGGGTCCCTGGTGGGTTTTGGGGTGTCCCAGGTTCGTGGGGGTTCCCTGGGGAGGTCCCTGGTGAATTGGGGTGTCCTGGTGGGTTTTGGGTGTCCCTGGTGGGTTTGGGGGGTCCCTGGTGGGTTCTGGGGCTTCATAGTGAGTGGGGGTCCCGGGTGGGTGGGGGTGACTCAGGGGTCCCTGAGGTGGGGGTCCCTAGGTGGGTTTTAGGGTTCCCTGGTGTATTTTGGGGTGTCCCAGGTGGGTTCAGGGGGGTGGTTACCTCTGACCTCGAGGTGGGCCACGATGGAGGCGTTGCTGTGGGCGTTGTGGGCCCGGCAGGTGAAGCCCCTGGTCCTCGGCTGGGCGGGCCCACCCGGAGGGTCCCGTTGGTGAAGGCGAAGGCTCGGTCGTCCTGCAGGGCCGGCTCCAGCCCGGGGCCCAGCCTGGTTTGGGGGGCTAGGGGTTTTAGAGGGCTTGGGGGTTTGGGGGATTGGGAGGGGTTTGGAGAAGTTTTGAGGAGTTTAGGGGGTTTAGGGGTGTTGGGGGTGTTTAGGGGTGTTTTAGGGGGTTTGGGGGTTTGGGGGATTTAGGGGCTTAGGGGCTGTTTGGGAGGGGTTGGGGGTTAGGGGGCTTTAGAGGGGTTTAGGGATGTTGGAGGGGTTGGGAGGGGTTTGGGTGAAGCTGGGAGGATTTAGAGGAGTTTAGGGGGGCTTAGGAGGGTTGGGGGTTTGGAGGGTTTGGGAGGAGTTTGGGAGAAGTTGGGAGAGATTTAGGAGATTTGGGGGTTAGGGGGAGTTTGGAGGGGTTTGGGGGGTTGGGGGTAGTTTAGGAGGGGTTTGGGGGTTTGGAGGGCTGGGAGGGTTTAGGGGTTTGGGAGGGCTTTGGGGAGTTTGGGAGTGTTTGGGAGGGGTTTGGGAAGTTGGGAGGATTTAGGGGGCTTTAGAGGGGTTAGGGGTGTTTGGGAGGGTTTGAAAGACAGGGTGTTTTATGGGGGTTTAGGGGTGTTGGGGTTTTAGGGGGTTAGGGAGGTTTGGAGGGTTAGGGGAGTTTGAGGAAGTTTTGAGGAGTTTAGGGGGTTTAGAGGGGTTAGGGGGTGTTTAGAGGTTTATGCTGGGGTTTCAAGGGGGTGAGGGGGGTTGGAGGGTTTAGGGTGTTGGAGGAAGGATTTGAGAGGTCCTAGGAAGGATTTTGGGGTTCCAGAAAAGGATTTGGGGGGTTCCTGGAAGGATTTTAGGGGGTCCCTGGAAGGGCTTCTGGGGGTTCCTGGAAGGATTTCGTGGGGGTCCCAGGAAGGATTTGGGGGGTTCCAGGAAGGATTTTGGGAGTGTTTCAGGAATGATTGGGGGGTCCCAGGAAGGATTTGGGGGGGGTTCCTGGAAGGATTTTGGGAGTTCCAGGAAGGATCTGGGGGTTCCTGGAAGAATCTGGGGGTCCCAGGAAGGATTTAGGGGTTCCTGGAAGATTTGAGGGTCCCAGGAAGGATTTGGGGGAGGTTCCAGGAATGATTTGGGGTTCCAGGAAAGGATTTGGGGGTTCAGGAAGGATTTGGGGGTTCCAGGAAGGATTTGAGGGGTCCCTAGGAAGGATTTGGGAGGTTCCAGGAATGATTTGGGGGGTTCAGGAAAGATTTGGGGGGTTCCAGGAAGGATTTGAGAGGGTTCCTGGAAGGATTTAGGGGGGTTCCTGGAAGGATTTGGGGGTTCCCTGGGAGAATATGGGGGTTCCTGGGAGGATTTGGGGGAGTTCCAGGAAGGATTTAGGGAGTCCCAGGAAGGATTTTGGGGTTTCTAGGAAGGATTTGGGGGGTTCTAGAAAGGATTTGAGGGGTTCCCAGGAAGGATTTAGGGGGGAGGGTGATCCTGGGGGTGCGGGAGACTCGAGGGAATTTGGGGGGGGGTCTCACCACTCCACGGTGGGCGCGGGGGCGCCGAAGGTCTGGCAGTGCAGGAAAGCCGTCTGGTTCTCCACCACCGCGTAGAGCTGCGAGTCCGGGGTCAGGATCTTCACCGGCAGCTCTGGGGGGGAGGGGGAGAATTGGGGGTGAAAGGGTCCTCAGGGACTCCGGGGTTGGAGGGTCATGGGGAGGAGTTTTGGGGGGGCTGAGGGTCAGGGAGGATGTGGTTGTTATGGAAATGCAGATGCTAAGGAGGATGTGGTTGCTAAGGGGGATGTGGTTGCTAAGGAGGATGTGGTTGCTAAGGGGATGTGGTTGCTAAGGAAGATGTGGTTGCTAAGGAGGATGTGGTTGCCAAGGAGGATGTGGTTGCTAAGGGGGATGTGGTTGCTCAAGGAGGATGTGGTTGCTAAGGAGGATGTGGTTGCTAAGGAGGATGTGGTTAAGGGATGCAGTTGCTAAGGAGGATGTGGTTGCTAAGGAGGATGTGGTTGCTAAGGAGGATGTGGTTGCTAAGGAAGATGGGGTTGCTAAGGAGGATGTGGTTGCTAAGGGGATGTGGTTGCTAAGGAAGATGTGGTTGCTAAGGAGGATGTGGTTGCCAAGGAGGATGTGGTTGCTAAGGGGGATGTGGTTGCTAAGGAGGATGTGGTTGCTAAGGAAGATGGGGTTGCTAAGGAAGATGTGGTTGCTAAGGAGGATGTGGTTGCTAAGGGGGATGTGGTTGCTAAGGGGATGTGGTTGCTAAGGAGGATGTGGTTGCTAAGGAGGATGTGGTTGCCATGGAGAATGTGGTTGCTAAGGAGGATGTGGTTGCTAAGGAGGATGTGGTTGCTAAGGAGGATGTGGTTGCTGTGGAAATGCAGTTGTCAATGGGGATGTGGTTGCTAAGGAGGATGTGGTTGCTGTGGAAATGCAGTTGCTAAGGAGGATGTGGTTGCCATGGAGACAAGAGAAGCTGTGATGCCGTTGCCATGGCATGGGGTTACTGGGAAGGCACGGATGGGGTTACTGGGAGGGCAGGGATGGGGTCACTGGGGTTACTGGCAGGAATGGGGTTACTGGGGTCACTGGGGTCACTGGGAGGGCAGGAATGGGGTTACTGGGGTCACTGGGGTTACTGGGAGGGCAGGGCTGGGGTTACTGGGGTCACTGGGGTTACTGGGATGCTCCAGGGGGGTTCTGTCCCACGCACCCACGACGTAGACAATGATTACTGGGGTTACTGGGAGAGCAGGGCTGGGGTCACTGGGGTCACTGGTGTTACTGGGGTCACTGGGGTCACTGGGAGGGCAGGAATGGGGTTACTGGGGTCACTGGTGTTACTGGGAGGAAGGGCTGGGGTCACTGGGGTCACTGGGGTCACTGGGGACACTGGGGTTACTGGGAGGGCAGGAATGGGGTCACTGGGGTCACTGGGGTCACTAGGGTCACTGGGAGGGAGGTGCTGGGGTCACTGGGGTCACTGGGAGTGTGAGGGCTGGGGTCACTGGGGTCACTGGGAGAGCAGGGACTGGGGTTACTGGGATCACTGGGATGCTCCAGGGGGGTTTAGTCCCACGCACCCACGATGTAGACAATAGTTACTGGGAGGGAGGGTTGGGGTTACTGGGGTCACTGGGGTCACTGGGAGGGCAGGAATGGGGTCACTGGGGGTCACTGGGGTTACTGGGGACGGAGTGGTTGGGAGCTACTTGGAGGTTACTGGGAGGGCAGGAACTGGGGTTACTGGATGTCACTGGGTCAGTGAAGGGCTGGGAGTCAACTGGGGGTCACTGGGGTCACTGGGGTCACTGGGAGGAAGGGCTGGGGTAACTGGGGTTACTGGGATCACTGGGATGCTCAGACAGTTTTGTCCCACGCACCCACGACGTAGACGATGGTTACTAGGACGGAGGGTTGGGGTTACTGGGGTTACTGGGAGGGCAGGGCTGGGGTCACTGGGGTCACTGGTGTCACTGGGGTTACTGGGAGGGCAGGGCTGGGGTCACTGGGGTCACTGGTGTCACTGGGGTCACTGGGAGGGCACGGTCAGTGGGGTAACTGGGGTTACTGGTGTCACTGGGAGGCTCCAGGGGGGTTTTGTCCCACGCACCCACGACGTAGACGATGGTTACTGGGAGGAAGGACTGGGGTCACTGGGGTCACTGGGAGAGCAGGGCTGGGGTCACTGGGGACACTGGGGTTACTGGGGTCACTGGGAGGAAGGGCTGGGGTTACTGGGGTCACTGGGATGCTCCAGGGGGTTCTGTCCCACGCTCCTACGGCGTGGGCGATGGTTACTGGGAGGAAGGACTGGGGTCACTGGGGTCACTGGGAGAGCAGGGCTGGGGTCACTGGGGACACTGGGGTCACTGGGAGAGCAGGGCTGGGGTTACTGGGGTTACTGGGAGGAAGGGCTGGGGTAACTGTGATCACTGGGGTCACTGGGATGCTCCAGGGGGGTTCTGTCCCACGCACCCACAACGTAGACAATGATTACTGGGGTCACTGGGGTCACTGGGGTCACTGGGGTCACTGGGAGGGCAGGAATGGGGTAACTGGGGTTACTGGTGTCACTGGGAGGCTCCAGGGGGGTTCTGTCCCATGCACCCACAACGTAGACGATGGTTACTGGGACGGAGGCTTGGGGTTACTGAGGTTACTGGAAGGGCAGGAATGGGGTCACTGGGGTAACTGGGGTTACTGGGAGGGAGGGCTGTGGTCACTGGTGTCACTGGGAGGCTCCAGGGGGTGTTTTTGTCCCACGCACCCACGACGTAGACGAAGGTTACTGGGAGGGAGGGTTGGGGTTACTGGGAGGAAGGGCTGTGGTCACTGGGGTCACTGGGAGAGCAGGGCTGGGGTTACTGGGGTTACTGGGAGGAAGGGCTGGGGTAACTGGTGTCACTGGTGTCACTGGGAGAGCAGGGCTGGGGTCACTGGGGTAACTGAGGTCACTGGTGTCACTGGGAGAGCAGGGCTGGGGTCACTGGGGTCACTGGGGTCACTGGGAGGGCAGGGCTGGGGTCACTGGGGTCACTGGTGTCACTGGGAGGGCAGGAATGGGGTAACTGGGGTCACTGGGAGAGCAGGGATAGGGTTACTGGTGTCACTGGGAGGGCAGGGCTGGGGTAACTGGTGTCACTGGGATCACTGGGATGCTCCAGGGGGGTTCTGTCCCACGCACCCACGACGTAGACGATGGTTACTGGGGTTACTGGGAGAGCAGGGCTGGGGTCACTGGGGACACTGGAGTCACTGGGGTTACTGGGAGGGCAGGAATGGGGTTACTGGTGTCACTGGTGTCACTGGGATGCTCAGGGGTTTGTCCCACTGCACCTACCGCACGTAGACAATGATTACTGGGAGCTACTGGGAGAGCAGGGCTGGGGTCACTGGGGACACTAAGTCACTGGAGTTACTGGGAGGGCAGGAATGGGGTTACTGGTGTCACTGGTGTCACTGGGATGCTCCAGGGGGGTTTTTTTGTCCCACGCACCCACGACGTAGACAATGATTACTGGGGTCACTGGGAGGGCAGGGCTGGGGTTACTGGGGTCACTGGGGTTACTGGGGTCACTGGGAGGGCAGGGCTGGGGTAACTGGGGTTACTGGTGTCACTGGGGTTACTGGGAGGACAGGGTTGGGGTCACTGGGGTCACTGGGGTCACTGGGGTCACTGGGGTCACTGGGAGGAAGGGCTGGGGTTACTGGGATCACTGGGATGCTCCAGGGGGTTTTTTTGTCCCACTCACCCACGACGTAGACGAAGGCGTTGGCCAAGAGCCGCCCGTGCCGGTTGGAGGCCTCGCACTGAGCGACCACCGAGTCGTTGGGCTCGAGCCGGGACAGCACCAGGGCCCCCCCACGCAGCTCCCGCCGGCCCGAGGGGGGCAGATCTGGGGGAGGAACACGGGGGGGGACAGTCAGACACCCACGGGGGGGATAAAATACCCCACAGGGTAATTAAATACCCCACGGGGTGATAAACACACACACACCCCCCACGCAGCTCCCGCCGGCCCGAGGGGGGCAGATCTGCCGGGGGGGGGGACAGTCAGACACCCACGGGGGTGATTAAACATCCCCTGGGGTAATTAAATACCCCACGGGGTGATAAAACATCCCACAGGGGTGATAAACACACCCACACCCCCCACGCAGCTCCCGCCGGCCCGAGGGGGGCAGATCTGCCAGGGGGGACAGTGAGACACCCACGGGGGTGATAAAATATCCCACGGGGTAATTAAATACCCCACAGGGTGATAAATCCTCCCCCAGCAGCTCCCACCGGCCCAGGGACAGTGAGACACCCATGGGGGTGATAAAATATCCCACAGGGTAATTAAATACCCCACGGGGTGATAAAATACCCCACGGGGTGATAAACCCTCCCACAGCAGCTCCTGCCGGCCCGAGGGGGGCAGATCTGGGGGGGGGACAGTGAGACACCCACGGGGGTGATAAAATATCCCACGGGGTAATTAAATACCCCCGGGGGTGATAAAATACCCCCGGGGGTGATAAAATACCCCAGGGGGTGATAAACCCTCCCACACAGCTCCCGCCGGCCCGAGGGGGGCAGATCTGCCGGGGGGGGGGACAGTCAGACACCCACGGGGGTGATAAAACACCCCATGGGGTAATTAAATACCCCACGGGGTGATAAAATACCCCAGGGGGTGATAAACACACACACCCCCCACGCAGCTCCCACCGGCCCGAGGGGGGCAGATCTGGGGGGAGGGACAGTGAGACACCCACGGGGGTGATAAAATATCCCATGGGGTGATAAGAATACCCCACGGGGTAATTAAATACCCCACAGGGTGATAAAATACCCCATGGGGAAATTAAAAACCCCACAGGGTGATAAAATACCCCATGGGGTAATTAAATACGCCATGGGGGTGATAAACCCTCCCCCAGCAGCTCCTGCTGCCCTGAGGGGGGCAGATCTGGGGGGGGGAGACACGGGGGGGGACAGTCAGACACCCATGGGGTGATAAAATACCCCACGGGGTGATAAAACACCCCCAAGGGCAATAAACCCCTCCAGGGACCCCAATACCCAAAAAAAACTCTCAAGGGACCCCAATAAACCCCTCCAAGGACCCCCCTCCCTTTCAGGACCCATCCCAGCCCCCTCCAAGGGATCCCCAGAAACCCCCAAGAGACCCCAATAACCCCTCCAAGGACCCCCTCCACCCATCAGGGTCCATCCCAGCCCCTCCCCACCTCCTCTAAGGGACCCCACCCCTCCCAGCCCCCTAATTGACCCCCAGCCCCCACACCCCCCTTAAGTGACCCCCCACCCCCCAGCCCCTCTAATGGACCCCCAGACCCCCAGACCCCCTTAAGGGACCCCCACCCCCCCCAGCCCCTCTAATGGACCCCCAGACCCCTCCCCACCCCCCTTAAAGGACCCCAGTCCCCTCCCACCCCCCAAGCGACCCCAATAACCCCCCCCAAGGACCCCCAGAAACCCCCCAAGGGACCCCCAATAACCCCTCCAAGGACCCCCACCCACCCATCAGGGTCCATCCCAGCTCCCCCACCCCTCAAGGGACCCTCAGACCACCCCCAGCCCTTAAGACCCCAGAACCCCCCAAGGACCCCCAGAAACCCCCCAAGAGACCCCCAATAACCCTCGAAGGACCTGCCCCCAACCATCAGGGCCCATCCCCACCCCCTGCAAGGGACCCCAGAAACCCCCAGAGACCCCAATAACCCTCCAAGGACCCCCACCCACCCATCAGGGCCCATCCCAGCCCCTCCCACCCCTCTAAGAGACCCCCACCCCTCCCAGCCCCTCTAACTGACCCCCCAGCCCCTCCCCCCCCAAGGACCCCAATAACCCCTCCAAGGACCTCCCCACCCATCAGGGCCCATCCCAGCCCTCCCCACCCCCTCAAGGGACCCCCACCCTCCCCCAGCCCCTCTAAGGGACCCCCACCCCCAGCCCCCAGTACCGTCGATGGGGACCCCGCTGATGCTCCAGGCGAGGCGGGGCCGGGGTTTGCCCCCACCACACAGTCGAGTTTCGCCGTCTCCCCGGCCCGAAGATCCCGCTCTGGGGCGCTTCACCCAGTACGGGGCCGCTGGGGATACTGGGAGGGTCAGGGAACCCCGGCCGGGGACCCCAGGCCTGTCCCAGTGCCCCCAGTGACCCCCCAGTGATCCCCTTGCCCGTCCCAGTGAACCCCAGTATTGCCTCCACTACCAGCCCCAGTGCCTCCCCAGTGCCTCCCACTCGCCCTCCCATCGCCTCCCACTCCTCCCATCCCCTCCCAGTGCCTCCCACCACCCTCCCATCCCCTTCCAGCACCTCCCAGTGCTTCCCACCGCCCCTCCTACCCCCCTACCCCTCTCCCACCGCCCTCCCATCCCCTCCCTCACCCCCTCCATCCCCTCCCACCGCCCCTCCCAGTGCCTCCCACCGCCCTCCCAGCCCCCTCCATCCCCTCCCACCGTCCTCCCAGTCCCTCCCACCGCCCTCCCAGTGCCTCCCATCCCCTCCTAGTGCTTCCCACCGCCCTCCCACCGCCCTCCTCCCACCCCTCCATCCCCTCCCACCGCCCTCTCCCAGTCCCCTCCCACCGCCCTCCCAGCCCCCTCCGGCAACACCTCGACGGTGACGAGGTGGCTGCGGCGGTCTCGGCCGTGCCCGCTGGTGGCCGCGCACTCGTACTCGCCATCGTCCGCCTCCTCCACGCCCCGCAGCCGCAGCGTCTTGTTGAAGTTGTCCAGGACGGCCCGGCCCGGGGAGCGGCCCGTTCAGCCTCGCCAGCTCACCCAGGGCGTGGGGCTGGGGGACACATTGGGGGTCAGGGAGTCACCCCCGGGATGGGAGATCCCCCAGGACACTCCCTGGGACCCCCTGTTCAGCCTCCGCCAGCTCACCCAGGGCGTGGGGCTGGGGATACATTGGGGGTCAGGGACACCCCCGGGATGGGAGATCCTCGGACACCCCCAGGACACCCCCGGGACCCCCGTTCAGCCTCCGCCAGCTCACTGCCCAGGGCGTGGGCTGGGGAACATCGGGGGTCAGGGATCCTGGACCACCTCCTGATACCCCCCGGGACCCCCTGTTCAGCCTCCGCCAGCTCACCCAGGGCGTGGGGCTGGGGGACATTGGGGGTCAGGACCACCCCCCCGGGATGGGAGATCCCCCAGGACACCCCCAGGACACCCCCAGGACACCCCCGGGACCCCGTTCAGCCTCCGACAGCTCACCCAGGGCGTGGGGCTGGGGGACATTCGGGGGTCAGGGGCCTGGGACCACCTCTGAATACCCCCAGGACACCCCCCAGGACCCCCAGGACCCTCCTTGACCCCCTAGGACCCCCCTGGACCCTCCAGGACCTCCCTGACCCCCCAGGAACCCCCCTGGACCCTCCAGGACCCCCCGACCCTCCCTGACCCTCTCGGAACCCCCCCTGGACCCTCCAGGACCCCCCGACCCTCCCTGACCCCCAGGAACCCCCCGGACCCTCCCAGGACCTCCGTGAGCCCCCTCGAGCCCCCACTCACAGCCCCTCAGCGATGCACTCCAGGACGAGGTCCCTCCTCGGAGGGCTGACGTGGGGTGGGTTGGGGGTCCCTGGGGACCACCAGGCGGGGGCCGCCGGGACTGCACCGGGAGTTACCTGGGGAGGGGAGGTATAGTGGGGAGCGGGGGGCAACCCCAGAGACCCCCCCTCAGATTGTTGAGGAACCCCCAAACATCAAAGGAACCCCCTCCCCGAGCTCCTCCCTGGGATCCCCTACCCAACAGGGACCCTCCGGACCCCCTATCCAACAAGGACCCCCCCGAGACCCCCTGAGTCCCTCTGGGACCCCCTTATCTCTGCAGGGACCCCCTCGGGATCCCCTTATCCAACAGGGACCCCCGACCTCCCCTGAGCCTCCTGGGACCCCTTATCCTGCAGGGACCCTCGGGACCCCCTTATCCAACAGGGACCCCCGACTTCCCCGGGACTCCCTTTATCCAACAGGGACCTCCCTCCAAGACCCCCTTATTCAACAGGGACCCTTCACTGACTCTCCCGACCCACCTGAGACCCCCTTATCCAACAGGGACCCCTCGGGACCCCTTATCCTGCAGGACTCCCCGACCCCCTGGAGCCCCCTGGGACCCCCTTATCCATCAGGGACCCCCTCGGGACCCCCTTATCCAACAGGGACCCTCCAAGACCCCCTTATTCAACAGGGACCCCTCGAGACTCCCCCGAGTCCCCTGGGACCCCCTTATCCTGCAGGGACCACTCCTGAGCCCCCCTGGGAACCCCCTTATCCCACAGAGAGCCCCCAAAGCTCCCCCTCCAGGACCCCCTTATCCTGCAGGGACTCCCCCGAGACCCCGGAGTCCCTCTGGGATCCCTTTATCCTGCAGGGACCCGATTTTAACACGAGATCCTCTGGGAAAGGATTTTGAGGGGGGGGGGCTCCTACTTTGAGGATTCCTGGGGGCTTCCCCCCTAATCCCAATTTTAATATGGGAGTGATTTTGGGTGGGGGTTCCCACAACAGCACCTTTTGGAATCCCTGGGGTCCTTTATCCCCCCCCAATTTTAAGGTGGGAAGGATTTTATGGGGGGGCTCCACAGCAGCACCTTTGGGGGTCCCTGGGGGTCCCTTCCCCCCCCTCCAATTTTAAGGTGGGAAGGATTTTATGAGGGGGGGTCCCCCACAACAGCACCTTTGGAGTCCCTGGGGTCCCTTCCTCCAATTTTAAGGTGGGAAGGATTTAGGGGGCTCCCACAACAGCACCTTTGGGGGTCCCTTTCCCCCCCCACCACGATTTTAAGGTGGGAACCCCCGGGGAACGATTTTTTTTGGGGGGCTCCCACAGCAGCACCTTTGGGGGTCCCTGGGGGTCCCTTCCTCCCCTTCCCCCCAATTTTAAGGTGGGAAGGATTTTAGGGGCCCCCACAGCAGCACCTTTGGGGTCCCTTCCCCCCAATTTTAAGGTGGGAATGATTTTTTTTGGGGGGGGGGCTCCCACAGCAGCACCTTGGGGGTCCCTGAGGGGTCTCCGGGTCCCTTCCCCCCTCCTCCCACCCCCCTCCCCCACTTTTAAGCTGGGACCCCCGGGGAGTGATTTGGGGGGGGTTGGGGGCTCTGAGGGTCCCGTGTCCCCCTGCCACCCGGGGTCTCACTGGGGGCGACGCGGAGGTCGAGGGGCTCCTTCTGGATGATGGTGCGGGGTCCCAGGTAGTGGGCGTGGCAGATGTAGTCGGGGTGGCTGTCCCCGACCTGCGCGTTGGCGAAGTACAGGAACCCGTCCTGCCCCACGGACACGCGCGCGTCCTGCGGGATGTGCTCGATCCCTGCGGGAAAAACGGGATCAGGGGGGTCCCAAAAACTGCCCCTGTCCTGCCCCACGGACACGCGCGCGTCCTGCGGGATGTGCTCGATCCCTGAGGGAAAAACGGGATTGGGGGGGTCCCAAAATCCTCCCGTCCTGCCCCACGGACACGCGCGCGTCCTGCGGGATGTGCTCGATCCCTGCGGGAACAACGGGGGGATCAGGGGGGTCCCAAAAATCCCTCCCGTCCTGCCCCACGGAGACCCGAGTGTCCTGCGGGATGTGCTCGATCCCTGCGGGGAAAACCGGGATTGGGGGGTCCCAAAAACTGCCCCTGTCCTGCGGGATGTGCTCGATCCCTGCGGGAAAAACGGGATCAGGGCAGTCCCAAAAACTGCCCCTGTCATGCGGGATGTGCTCGATCCCTGCGGGGAAAACGGGAATAGGGGGGTCCCAAAAATCCCACCCAGACTGCCCTAGAGACACCCGAGTGTCCTGCGGGATGTGCTCGATCCCTGCGGGGAAAACCGGGAAAAACGGGATCAGGGGGGTCCCAAAAACTGCCCCTGTCCTGCGGATGTGCCTGATCCCTGCGGGGAAAGGGGGTCAGGGGGTCCCAAAATCCTCCTGTCCTGCCCCACGGACACGCGCGTCCTGCGGGATGTGCTCTGATCCCTGAGGGAACAACCGGAAAAACGGGATCAGGGGGTCCCAAAACTGCCCCTGTCCTGCGGGATGTGCCTGATCCCTGCGGGAAAAACCGGGAAAACGGGATCAGGGGGTCCCAAAATCCTCCCGTCCTGCCCCACGGACACGCGCGCGTCCTGCGGCATGTGCTCGATCCCTGCGGGAAAAACCGGGATCAGGGGGGTCCCAAAAATCCCTCCCGTCCTGCGGGATGTGCTCGATCCCTGAGGGAACAACCGGGAAAAACGGGATCAGGGCGGTCCCAAAAACTGCCCCTGTCCTGCGGGATGTGCTCGATCCCTGCGGGAAAAACGGGATCAGGGGGGTCCCAAAAATCCCTCCCGTCCTGTCCCTGCTCTTCCCGGAATATCCTGCGGGATGTGCTCGATCCCTGCGGGGAAAGGGGGGGGTCAGGGGGGTCCCAAAAATCCCACTCGGACTGCCCTACAGACACCCGAGTGTCCTGCGGGATGTGCTCGATCCCTGCGGGGAAAGGGGGGGTCAGGGGGGTCCCAAAAATCCCACCCAGACTGCCCCGAGTGTCCTGCGGGATGTGCTCGATCCCTGCGGGAACAACGGGGGGATCAGGGGGGTCCCAAAACTGCCCCTGTCCTGCGGGATGTGCCTCGATCCCTGTGGGGAAAAACGGGATCAGGGGGTCAGGGGTCCCAAGAGTCCCACCTGACTGCCCGATCCCTGCAGGAAAACGGGATCAGGGGGTCCCAAAATCCCTCCTGTCCTGCCCCACGGACACGCGCGCCCTGCGGGATGTGCCTGATGCCTGGGGGAAACCGGGAAAAACGGGATCAGGGCGGTCCCAAAATCCCTCCCGACTGCCCTAGAGCACCTGAGTGTCCTGCGGGATGTGCCTGATCCCTGCGGGAAAACCGGGAAAAACGGGATCAGGGGGGTCCCAAAAATCCCACCCGGACTGCCCTACAGACACCCGAGTGTCCTGCGGGATGTGCTCGATCCCTGGGGGGAAAGGGGGGGTCAGGGGGGTCCCAAAATCCCTCCTGGTCCTGCCCCACGCGACACGCGTCCTGCGGGATGTGCCTGATCCCTGCGGGGAAAAACGGGAAAATCGGGATCAGGGGGTCCCAAAAATCCCTCCCGTCCTGCCCCACGGACACGCGCGCGTCCTGCGGGATGTGCTCGATCCCTGCGGGGAAATCCGGGAAAAACGGGATCAGGGTGGTCCCAAAAACTGCCCCTGTCCTGCGGGATGTGCTCGATCCCTGCGGGGTGCAAGGAGAGTTGTGGGGATGCCATGGGGGGTTATGGGGGTGCAGTGGGGGTTATGGGGTTGAGGGGTGCAATGGGGTCGCAGGGGGTTATGGGGGTGCAGTGGGGGTTATGGGGTCACAGGGAGGTTATGGGGGTGCAGGGGGGGTTATGGGGTCAGGGGGTTATGGGGTGAGGGGCAATGGGCGCAGGGGGCTATGGGGCAATAGGGGTTATGGGGTTGAGGGGTGCAATGGGGTCAGGGAGAGTTATGGGGGTGCAGTGGGGGTTATGGGGTTGAGGGTGTAATGGGTTGTAGTGGGGGCTATGGGGTCGCAGGGGGTTATGGGGGTGCAGGGGGGTTATGGGGTCACAGTGGTGTTATGGGGTGTAATGGGGGTTATGGGGTTGAGGGGTGCAATGGGATGCAGGGGGTTATGGGGGTCAGTGGGGGTTATGGGGTTGAGGGTGCAATGGGGTGCAGGGGGGTTATGGGGGTGCAATGGGGGCTATGGGGTCACAGGGAGGTTATGGGGGTGCAGGAGGGGGTTATGGGGTCGCAGAGGGGTTATGGGGTGTAATGTCGGGTTATGGCGTTGAGGGGTGCAATGGGGTGCTGGGAGAGTTATGGGGGTGCAGTGGGGGCTTATGGGGTTGAGGGTGTAATGGGGTGCTGGGAGAGTTATGGGGTGCAGTGGGGGGTTATGGGGTTGGGGTGCAATGGGGTGTAGGGGGTTATGGAGGTGCAGTGGGGGGTTATGGGGTTCAGGGGTTTATAGGGTTGCAGGGAGTTATGGGGTTGAAGGGTGTAATGGGTTGTAGTGTGGGGGTTATAGGGTCGTAGGGGGTTATGGGGGTGCAGGGGGGTTATGGGGTTGGGGTGTAATGGGGCAGGGGCTTTATGAGGGTGAAGTGGGGGGTTATGGGGTCACAGGGGTTATGGGGTGTAATGGGGGGTTATGGGGTTGGGGGTGCAATGGGTGCGGGGGTTATGAGGGTGCAGTGGGGGTTATGGGGTCACAGAGGGTTTATGGGGGTGCAATGGGGGGCTTATGGGGTTGAGGGGTGTAATGGGGTGCTGGGAGAGTTATGGTGCAATAGGGGGTTATAGGGTTGAGGGGTGCAATGGGGTGCAGGGGGGGTTATGAGGTGCAGTGGGGGTTATGGGGTCACAGAGGGTTTATGGGGTTGAGGGGTGCAATGGGGTGCTGGGGGATTATGGGGTGCAGTGGGTGGTTATGGGGTTGGGGGATGTAATGGGGCAGGGGGTTATGAGGGTGCAGTGGGGGTTATGGGGTCACAGAGGGTTTATGGGGTGCAGTGGGGGTTATGGGGGTTTGGAGGGTTATAGGGTTGCAGGGGAGTTATGGGGTTGAGGGTGCAATGGGGCAGGGGGTTATGGGGGTGCAGGGGGGTTATGGGGCTGAGGGCAATGGGTGCAGAGGATTATGGGGTGCAGTGGGGAGTTATGGGGCTGAGGGTGCAATGGGGTTATGGGAGTGCAGTGGGGGTTATGGGGGTTCGGGGGTTATGGGGTTGCAGAGGGAGTTATGGGGCTGAGGGTGCAATGGGGGTTATGGGGGCAGTGGGGGTTATGGGGCTGAGGGTGTAATGGGTTGTAGTGGGGGGGCTATGGGGTCGCAGGGGGTTATGGGGTGCAGTGGGGGGTTATGGGGTCGCAGGGGGATTATGGGGGTGTAATGGGGGCTTATGGGGTTGAGGGGTGTAATGGGTGCTGGGAGAGTTATGGGGGCAGTGGGGGTTATGGGGTTGAGGGTGCAATGGGGCAGGGGGTTATGGGGGTGCAGTGGGGGTTATGGGGTCACAGGGGGTTATGGGGGGTGCAGGAGGATTATGGGGTTGCAGGGGGTTATGGGGGTGCAGTGGGGGATTATGGGGCTGCAGGGGGATTATGGGGTGCAATGGGGGTTATGGGGTTGAGGGGTGCAATTGGGTGCAGGGGGTTACGAGGGTGCAGTGGGGGAGTTATGGGGTTCAAGGGGGCTGCCAGGGTCGCAGGGGGGTTATAGGGGTTCAAGGGGGGTTATGGGGTCGCAGGGGGTTATGGGGTTTCAAGGGGGTTCAAGGGGGGGTTATGGGGTCGCAGGGGGTTAAGGGGTTCAAGGGGGTTATGGGGTCACAGGGGGTTATGGGGTCGCAGGGGGTTATAGGGGCTCAAGGGGGTTATAGGGTGACAGGGGGTTATGGGGTCGCAGGGGGTTATGGGGTGGCAGGGGGGATGCAGAGGGACTGGGGGGGGACAGGGTGGCAGCAGGGGGTGCAGCAGGCTGTGGGATCGGGGGTCACTCACGGCTGTTGAGCCAGTAGATCTTGGGGGGCACGGCGCTCTTGGGGGGGTCGCAGGGCAGCACCACGGGGTCCCCCTCCTCCACCTTCACCGGTGTCACCTTCTCCTTGGGCCACTGTGGCGTGTCTGGGGAACACAGAGGATGGGGGGGACCCCAAAAACACCAGGGAACCCCCCCATTGCCTGGAGGAATCCCCCCAATCCCCCACCCCCCAAAAAAACACCAGGGAACCCCCTCCATTGCCTGGAGGAATCCCCCAATCCCCCCCCCCCCAAAAAACACCAGGGAACCCCCCCATTGCCTGGAGGAATCCCTCAATCCCCTCCCCAAAAACACCAGGAACCCCCCATTGCCTGGAGGAATCTCCCATCCATCCACCCCCCAAAAAACACTAGGAAACCCCCCCATTGCCTGGAGGAATCCCCCATCCATCCATCCCCCAAAAACACCAGGAACCCCCCATTGCCCAGAGGAATCCTCATCCATCCACCCCCAAAAACACTAGGAACCCCCCATTGCCTGGAGGAATCCCCATCCATCCACCCCCAAAAACACTAGGACCCCCATTGCCTGGAGGAATCCCATCCATCCACCCCCTAAAAACACCGGGGACCCCCATCTGGGGCTCCCCTGCCCCTCAGACCCACCAGGGTCCCCTCCCATCCCCCATTTGGGGCATCCTCCGACCCCAACCAGAGAGACCCCCACACCTTGCCTGAGGACCTCAGCCTCCCCCCAAACCACCAGGGACCTCTCATTTGGGAGCTCCCTTCCCCCGAGACCCACCAGGACTGC